CGTGCGAAAACTAATGCTAATGCAACACGTGCGTGTTAAAACTAATGCTGACAATATGCAATAGTTGCGATAGAGGACCTAAGTAAGCGCAATATACACGAGAACGCAACGTAATTTTAACATATAGTTACACAGACATGAAGGGACTAGGAACGGTAATGACAATATTCAATTAGTAACAGATAGGCGAGAGGAGTCGCGTTACGATGCAGTTTTTCTAATTTTACTGGTACCTTAGTTTGCGCATTTGGTGCGTGTCGATACGCCCTTTCTTTCCGCGCACTTCTAAGAATTTCGCACCGCTGGGAGCGGCTCTGCTGCACGAGGGCCGCGGGCCGGGCTTCATCGGAAAGACCGCGGCCATCAGGCCCGCGGGCCGGGGTTTGGAGAACCCCTGCTCTACACTTTAACAGCGGTTAAGGTGAAACAAAGTATAGCACTTTGTGGCTTCCCGAGAGTTGTTGTTGTCGCAATGGGACAGTGTTCCCGAGAAAATGTTTTCCTCATGTTGGCGGACAAAGTTCACCAACTGTTTCTTCAATGTGACAATTCCTTCGTCTCATGTCCCCTCCCACGAAATACGGTAGCCCACTTGTTCGTCATCATATGCAGTAACGGGAGAAGAGCAATGCAGTTTCAAAAACTCGCTTGCGAATGTTGCTTCCTTTCGTTTTCATCATTTACAGACTGATCGAGGCCACATGTCCGGCGACAGGTTGGCAGGTCACGAAATCGTTTCTCGATTTGATCAGTTACTGTCTGAATCCGCGAGCGGGTACGAAAGCTCAACCAATTTAGTTACAGTAAAAATTAAACTTTATTATGTGTTAAAAAAAAAAAAAGAAAAAGTAAGGTTAGGGACTGCTTATCAAGTTATTATATAATGTACGCTAGAGGTCCAGCTGGGGCTAGTGTGCTGTTGCAAATTGAAGCAGACAGCAACCAGACGAAAATTGACTTCCGGTAATGAATTTCTACGGAGAAAAAGGGGTGCATTTTTTCTCTGCGCTTGATTGTATGAGCAAATATTACGAATAATTACAACGTAGTAAATAGTTAGGAACATTTCTCAATCACATGCGTGAAAGTATTGGTCAGTCACAGCGCTTTTCTGTCGAATTTAAGTCAATAAACACAGTGCTAAAACAGCTACATACGCGCATCTAAAACAGCTTCGTACGCGCATTTGTGTGTGCACTGTCGGGCACTATTATGTGCGAAGATGCTCGTTCTGCGTTCAAAACATCTCCCACGCACGCTCGAAATCTTTGAAAATAGGGAGAAGCCAGAAAACAGGTGCCCGATGAAAGCTGCCCGGCCTATGAAATAATAAAAAGAGACACCTTTCATAGCCCACGCACTTTATTCTTTACGTCTTGAATGTTTTAACAGCTCGTAAAGGTGCACGACGGGGTAATTTTCATATACTGTAAACGACTTATTTTTCGCGGGCTCAATATTTCGCGATTTAGGTCAAAGCTGAAGTTTTGTGAATACTTTAGGGGGTTATAATTTTCGCGACGCGGTGGGATCTCAATATAGATTTTAATGTGTTTACATTTTACCGAATTTGTTCGCGGGACCTATTTTTCGCGAATTGTAGGCGATTCGCGAAATTCGGGAAAATTAGGTCTTCGCGAAAATTAAGTCGTTTACAGTATGTGACAGGACTGACATACATGATATTAGCAATCTATAAGCGTCATCGGAATGCTGGCGAACCTTCAACACACTACATTCCTTTCTATTGTTAGTTTTCTTAGATTCGTCGCTCTGATTACACAGCTGTAAAACATAGGTTTGGGCCTGAAATATAGCGATGTTTAGAATCGTTGAAAATGCTGTAACTAAAGCAATTACACTTTTACCATGTTAATAAAGGTGCATACTATTCGGTACGACCCAAAGAACAAAAGTGGTCAGTGTTATTTTGCGGTGAAGAGACAAAATGCACGCGCGTTTTCCGATAGAAATGCACAGGAGCACCGCAAAAGTAGCCTGGTTGCTGTCTGCTTCAATTTGCATCCCGGAAGTCGCATAGACTCTAGCGTACATTATAATAACTCTATGGGACTGCTGCGGCACGCAAGAACGCACGCTCCAAGAAATCATGAACAGGTGGATTAAGTTCAATTACCCTCACATCACTCGGTTCACGTAGCAGTGTTGGTCACACCGTGGCCCTTCTTTTAATTTCTTTTTTCTTTTTTGTCACAGAGTTTTGGTGTTGCTAACACCGATTTACCCAGAACGAAAGCTGCACATTAGTTGTCAGGAGTGAGAGACATGACGAATACGGCAGTGAACAAGTTCTTCTGGGGCGCCTGTGCTCCCCGGAAGACCCGGTTCATCTGACCAGTTTTGTTTCATTTCCAAGAACTTCTGATAAGGAATTATTCAATTAATGGGGTCCAAACAGAAGAGCATATATTTAATTGTTTCCAGGCTCGAACCGTTTGGTTTATGAGAAATTCAGTTTAGCGAGCGTTGGAAAAGCGGGACTCGATCAATATGACTATGCTAACGCTGATACACGCGTGCTAAATGACCGTGTCTTGAAAAATAATAGAAAAACCAATCGCTCTGAATTTGTTGCCGGGTTTTTTTCAAGCCAAACGTCACAGCAGTTTCTTAACTCTAATGCATAATGGGCTTTTATGAAAGAAATTCCAGCTTTATTTCTAGCTCTTAGTAAGACGAGTTCATTCCTTGGGAATCTTCTCCAGAATAATGTACCATTTAGTCGCGCCCCTGGAATACATTGCAATGCGCTACCTTTCATTTATGTCATCCATTTGAGAACCAGTCGTTCTCAAATGGGGGTCCGCGCAGTCAAGCCCGGCAATAAAAGTTTTTTTTTTATTTATTTATTTTTATTTTTTTCAGATTGAGAAGAAACTTTTTAACTTTCTGGTGAATTTTCTAGCGCGTATGTCAATGAGAGAAGTCTATTTATTTCACACTAGCCCTTAACTATATCCGTTAATAAAATTATTATCATAATTAACCTATACCTTTCCCTTCACCACGAACGGGGTGGGGTCCTCCACCGCAAGGGGTCCGAGAAACATCAATGGTTAAGAGGTACTCCTCTAAACTCGATGGCAGCAAATGATAACTCCACTAGTGATACAAATAAAGGCGGGGCAAACGAGCATGTCACCTGGAAACAATACACAAAAGGAAACGAGATGCTCCGAAGCAAAAGTGTGTCTTCGTGAATCACAAGAACGTTTACCGGTGCGTGACCACAAGAACCGCTCTCTGCCACGTAACACGAAGATTCGACGAAGAAACCAACGCCTGCCACCCGACTGAACGCGACAGGAAAGCGTCGCCATCGTCTCTTGACTTCTGTCCGTTTCAGAAACGGCGCTTGCGGCACTATTTCGTCCTAAGGGAAGTTCCCGAAATCGGTGTAAACGTTCGATCCGCAAACGCGAAATCGAGGCGGGATAGTAGCACCAAAGGTGGCGTCCTCAGCTCTGCGCCAGCAGGCCGCGGACGCATTCCAAGCGGTCAGCGCGAAACTTTGGGCCGTCCTTGAAAGAAAGAAGAAACCCGTTTCCGATTTAGCAAGACCGGGCTACGTAATGGGCCCTATTCCACGGGTGCTTCGCGCTACATATATCCGGCCCCGTGAATCGAACCCGTCCGCCCGATATCGCCGCTTTCCTTGTTCGTTTCTAGTTCTACCGACGCAGACTGCGTGAACGTCGTGAAGAAAAAAAAAAGAAAAAGACAGGCCCCACAAAACTGGCAGCAGCCACAACAAAGGCAAAGGACGCGAGGAGTGCAAAGGGGGAAGCGACCCGATTCAGGCTTCTGTAACAAAGAGATCCTGTTCCGATGAACCGAGACAACCATTGTCCGGAGGTGTGCAGGAGGAAATTCTCGGAAGGGCCGGTCAGCTCTCTCGGAAAAAGAGTCGGGACGGTGGCTCGAGAGGAACTCAGCGGTGTAACGGCGCCTTTGGGCCGATCTGGTGAGATTGCAGTTTGCCTAGAAACACCGTGTCCAGAACGCACGGCGGAGCAGGCGAGAGGGCAACTAGGGCATCGCTGCCTCACGGTCGTGTCGGGGAAACTCTCCCGAGGTATTCCGACGGAACAACGTCGTACCCGTGTGCTGACTCGGCTGCCCCGCTCTGCGTGCCCCGCGTTCGCCGATGCGGCCGGCCACGCTGGAGTGGGTGAAGTTCGACTAACGCGCCTGAGCGCTGTGTGCCAGTTAACGCGACGCGGCACTACCTGATTGCCTATCTGGGCCAAGAGCCGGGTGTTCTGCATAAAGTCTCGCCTCCCAATTGACCCGCTTCGAAGAACGCCCTCCAGCAACTCGGACGAATTCGAACACCGGCCATACGCGCCTAAGAGGAGGGGACCCTGGGGGCAGAGCAAAAACTCCTTAGTCATCATCGAAATGGAACGTCGATAACCGGCGAGTAGAAAACAGCACTGGTCGAGCCAGCGTATATTTGGTAACTTGCCAAGTTATCACACAAAATACCCCAGCGCTTAAAATCAGCGTGCAAGCAAACCGTAAGAGCGCTCGACGTGCGCCAACAGATAATTTCTTCAGCGAACTATTACACCATAAACACCGCAACATCGCGATACAAGACGATAGCTTCGCCACACAACATACACGGGGCAGTGTCGGGCGATTTGTAATACGACCAGGGTCGGCCAATCGGACAACTGCGTCTCTAGAAAACCGCCATTCCCTCTTCCCGATTCAAGCATTCCCATCACCGTGATAACAACCAAAGCAGAGACCCGACAAAAAACCCCGATCCTTCAGAATTATTATGGAGACTCCAGCCTGGCTGGCGGCTCCTCTTTATTTCATAGCCCTTGTCTGGGTGCAATGCCCGACCCGTTCTTCTGAAAGAGAGTCCCACCCCTAGACTTACGAGTTTATCGCCCAGTATCTCTTAACGCCTTGGGTGCTCGATCCTATCGTGACGAAATGCAGAAACCAGAACACAGCACACAGCGCACGAGTGAAAACTTACACTAGTTTCTTTATCCCCACAAGAAACAAGATACATGTGAAGATCGTTCGCAACAGCCACGGACATGTCTGGATGATCAAACGCGTATGACAGTCTCCACGAATGCTAGTCGACCGTCGACCAAAGAAAGGAAGGGCGTTACGGTAGAAGCGATATTTCGCAAAAACGCGAGGGCGGCGTCGCCCACGCAGTTTTGCGAAACGTGCGCCACGACAGACAGCCCGAAAGAAACCCTTCCAACTGCACCCTGTTCAAAGCATGCGCTAGGTCGGAAGAGAAAGAAATAACAGTCCCCGCAGCCGTGCGCTACTGGGAAGGCACTCAAATATTGACAGCCGACCAATTTTTAGCTTCCATTCTGTCTGGTCATGAGATTTGTGCACAACACATACAGCAAGCGAAAAAAAAAAAATATATATATATATATCTATAATTATTATGGCACAATGTAGACACTTTCTCGAGGTGGGATTCAGGTGCACGGGACACAATGAATTTCGAGGCGGTCATGCCTGGTGAATACTATTTTATGCGAATGTCGATAAGCAAAACAGCAAATAAATCAAAATAAATTCACTTAAAAAAATTGCTCTTTTTTTCTTTTTTTTTGTGGTAAGTAAACCACAAGTTACTTTCCCTCCTCTACAACAAATGACCTGTATAAAACAAATAAGTGCCTATATTTAAAGACTGATAATAGTAAAACAAAAATATGGTAATTGCAGTTTAGAGCGATAAAAACAAATCTCAGCTTTTCAATAAAAAAACATGACTGGGCAAACAGATGAAAAATTTCTTTGCACACCAAGTGAACTTTATTTTTGATAGCTATGTGACATTGAAGTTACTCAATCATTAGTATGACGCTGATAGTTGTACTCTTATTTCTCTCATGCACACCCACTTCGCCTCGTTTCCTGGCACTGTAAGGACAGATTGCCAAAAGGAACGATATTATCATTTGCTTACCTCTAAAAAGTGCTTATTTTCTCCTCAGTAAAAAAAAACAAAAAAAAAAAAAACATTACAGTTTTTTTTGTAAAGCTCCTGCAAGCATCCAGACCACAGAAAAAGAACTAGGGCACACTCAATGTCGAGAAAAATCTCCCGACATATTTGGCAGTTTAGATGTGCTTGGAGATATGTTTTGTTTGATTACCTGTTAAGTATGTCACCTTAGACCTAGTACATATTTTTTGGAGAATATTTCTGAGTGCATTTGTTATGCAGCACAGATCACTGAACATCAAACAAGAAATAGTAGAAAATGAGAAAATATTTGGCAATACAAATGAAGAACACATCTGGAGAAAGTGTTGGCAGCACCATGAACACTCCCATATGGAGCCAAAAGTGAAAATGTTGACTGTGACATGTCCATAGTGCCAAGGAACGAACACTGTTGAAAAGGCTGTTGCCTTTGGCAATGTACAAGATGAGCTATACTTTAAAACAGATATATACAGGCTATGTACAATCTCGGTTGATGCTTGCTTGCATGCCACTAGTTTCACCAGCATGTTTTACCTTGGGACAACCACAGTCAACTGTAGTGATACCAATTCCAAGAGGTACAGTATTCCAAACCTGTACATGTGTTGTGCCTCTCAAGCTTTCATACACCTCTGATGGCTTACTCTTGTATATCCTCATGTTTTTGTTTTTTTTCTAAATAAACTTCATGTCCCGCAAAAGTTCCAGTGACTTACTGCTTCTTTTGCCCTAGGCACAGAACCCATAAATCTATTTTTAGGAAATGAAACATCCTTTCTAAAATCCAATGACAGTAGTAAAACTGCGAAATTTGATACCCTTCATTATTAAACAGCTGTGTATTTCAAATTAATTTGCCGTAGGTTTACTCTATGTTAATGCAGTCAATTTACTCCCCTGTGGATGGGTCTTACTTCAAGAAACTTTTACTTGTTAGTTCTTAGAAGATCCAATGTATGGACAATTCGCTAATAAATATCTAATAAAAGAACAGCAGACATTTGGCAGATTTGGGTGATGGAACTATAATACATTTTAACCATGGGTTTGAAAAATTCCATTATAATGGAGAAATGCTAGCTCATAGACCCCTGCTAAAGATCTAATATGGCTGGTTGAAGACATTTATTGCCAAATTATGACTTGATAAGAGAAGAAAAGGATTCTTACACTTGCAAACTTGGAAAAAAAAAAAAAAAAGAATGATCTAATTGTTTTAACTGTCATGGGCCTTGGCACAGTCTGTGCACAAACAAATGCAAAGAGAGAAAGAAAAAGTGTCACCTCCTGTCTCAAGGTTGTGTACCAAGCCAGTTCTTGACTTGTGAACAACCACTCGCATCAATCTACTCTTGCTAGGCATCAAAACTGTATGCAATGTACAACACAACCACTTTTGGGCAACCAGATACAAGCATCCACATTTGTTGAGCAACACTGTTCAATGCGTGGCTTGCACTGACGTCGCATCAGCTGTCATTGTGGTGGACTTGTGGTTCAAAGCATACTTTTTGCAGCATACATTTTATACCACCACTTTGCTTTTCTCAAGAATGACCATCAGCATGTTGCCATTATGTCACATGCAAGCCAGGTATTGAAGTCGCCACTCAGTGACACATTCATCTTGCAGACCTTGGAGGCTATTTCAAAGCAGATTTAGAAAAAAATTGTAAGACTGCATTGGCAGGCTTTGAAAATTGTGGAAATACCTCTCCTACATTGAAAGAGACCTAACGACTGCATGCGAGTCTGGAAAAGTGAAATGTTGTGCAGATATGTAAGAGTACTAGGAGGTAGCACTTTGGCTTTGGCGACATATGCAGGCTCCACTTTCTAGCATTGGCATGCTAACTGCCAACCAGACTCGATTGGTATACAGGGCATCCCCCCAATAAAATGTACAGGGTTATTTTCACCACAAATATGAATTATGCATTGCTGAACGCTCATTTTCAGTCAAATGTAGCTCTGGCGGTCCGAACTAGATGCCAAAGTTTCAGAACTATACTTCGTCTCACCTTAGCATGGACTATTGTTCGCCGCGCGTACTAAACGCGCGAGGTAGTTGCTTTGAATAAAGCCTCAGCGGCTGCATGAGCACTTGTGCAGCGAGTGCTCCAGTCAAGGCAGCAAAGGCTAGCAGCTCACGCTTGCACAGGCTTCACAGTTAGTCCATGCTAAGGTGAGACGAAAGATAACCATTATAAAGTGATTTTCTGAAATTTTAAATGGTAACATAGCATCCGACAGAGCTGTCGAATACATGGAGCTGAATGGTGCCTGTTACCGCAAACGTGAGAAAACTGCCAGTTTTGAAACTTTGGCATCTGGTTCATATCGCTAACACTACACTTGGGCAGAGAATGAGCATTCGATGGTGCATAGTTTAATTTTGCAGTTAAAAAACCCTGCAAATACTTCTTTTTTGTGGGAGGACATGCTGTATATATAATTAAATTAATTTGTCTGTGGCTGGAATAATGCAGCCAGTGACCATAGGAGATTTAGGATTCAAAGTATGTTCTGCACATTGCCAAACACCCATGGAGATAAGAAAAATTAGGCCCTTCAATTTCCTAGTCAACGACGTAACAAGATAATTTGCAGAACTCAAACAATACTCCATTTTACGATAACTTGGCAAACTGTTGAGGCTACGGCGCCTGCAACCCAATAAGAGCATCGGAGTGAGGCACGTGAGACCGCATCACTGGAGCGTTTGTGTCACTGCATTAAATGTGAGGCCTTGAGGAACTGGCTGTCGTCTGCTGGCCAAGAGTCGTCTGCTGCGAAACCAACCAACTTCGGATGAACGCCCACCGCAGCAACATTGCCGTCCGCTAGAATGGCGAGATCTTTGGGAACAGTTAATGAGACAACCACAAGCTCAATTTACCCGCGAGTCTGGCGGATGCTAATGCCAGGGCGATGCTTGAGTGGAAGTGGTCGATTACTGGGCTGCTATCATTCAAACATCGTTCAAAAGCCACATTGTTCTCGGAAGACGGTTGATCCAAATCAAGTATTGTTGAAAAGTAACATGTCTTTGTTTTTCTTCCCTATCATGTAGTTTAGTCTCGACAAAGATGGAATCACGCGAGTACAATTGCCGTTAAAAGAAAAAAAAGCCTAGAACCACTCTTTGTCGCGGACAGCGCTGCTGTGTGGTACCGAGGCCTCCTTGGCATCGACCATGGAGTGTTGTCACATGCCTTGCTCCGATGCTCTAATTGGGTCCCGGGGGCCGCAGCCTCCACAGTTCGCCAAGTTGCTGTGAAACGGAGTATAGCAAGTGCTCCTTTTTAGGTCTCAACAAAAGCAGCCCCGACTTTTTACCTTAAATCCTAGAATGGGCCAGATCTACTACTCACACCAGAATGGCCTACTCGATGTCTCACTTCCTAAGGAACCGAGAAACGGAGCAAGCCACCAGATGCATAGATGGACTGAACCTTTTGAATCAGATGGCAGCTTGCGCCACCTAGCCAGTGTTCTTTTTCTTTTTTTTAAAATTCCAAGTTACCTTTACCCGATATACCAAGTGGTGATATATTTTCGGTAGGCAGCTCTATGAAGTACTGATTGTACACTGTAGAGCCGCCTGCTGCGAGCTTCCTCCCAATACTGCGTAAGCGCACTCATGGCGCATACCGAACAGACTGAGTGGTATCCCGCGCTTGTAATGAACATGCAGCTGTAGCGGCCGCACATTCACGCAGAGTAAACTGTTAAAAAAAAAAAAAAAAAAAGCAGTTTCTGTCTACAATACCGCGTCGGATTAAACACCGCAGTGGCTGTAGAAAGAAGCGTGGCTTTGACCCCGCGGCCCACGCGCCCGACGCTCGCAGACGGCTCGAGGAGGACGCCGTCGCCGTGTTGGAGGCGACGTCGCTCGAGGCGCCTGCGCCGCGGGAGTTCCCTGTCGGCTACGATGTCCCACCGGGCTGAGCGCTATGAGGCTTGATACGTTCCCTACCGTTGCTGCCTTCGCGTGCGGGCGGAATTCCTGAGTAGAAGCGTCGGTGGCGCGAGCATCGACGGACAGCGGTCAAACGTAGGCTTCGGCGCGGCGCCTGGCCGGCGCGACGGTGGTCAAGTTTCGCAGGCGAGCGTAAAAGTTCCTCCAAGAAGCGAATGTCTTTCCGGACCAGATCCAGACGCCCGAGGTGATGCCGACGATTAGGATACCCAGGTACTTGATCATGAAGACGTAAAACTCGGGGCGTCGTAGCGCACGATCGCGACGCAGACAGGAAGGCTCGGGGCACGGGATGCTCCAGCGCTTCTCGGCGTTCACCTGCCAGTGCCAGCCGAGCATCCAGTCGTCGAAGTGGGCCTGCTCGTAGAAGTAGCAGCAGAGCACCGTGAGCGCTGGCAGTGTGTACAGGAAGGAGAATATTCCGATGCGGACCATCAGCTTTTCAAGCTTGTCCGTTTTGGTGCCGTCGTGCTTCATGACGGTGCGGATGTGGCAGAGCGAGATGAAGCCCGCCATAAGGAACACCTTGCCCAGTGCGAGATAGACAAAAAGCGGAGCAAGCACGAAACCGCGCAGGGCGTCCATGTTCCAGAGCCCCACGTAGCAGACGCCGCTGAGGACGTCGCCTTCTACCTTGCCCATGGCCAGGATGGTGATGGTCTTGACGGCCGGGATGGTCCAAGCAGCCAGGTGAAAGTACTGCGAGTTGCTTTCGATAGCCTCGTGGCCCCACTTGAGCCCCGCGGCCAGAAACCAGGTGAGCGTCAGCACCACCCACCAGATGGAGCCCGCCATGCTGAAGAAGTAGAGCACCATGAACATGACGGTGCAGGTCTCCTTCTTGTTGTTCTGGGTGATGGTGCGCACCATCTCCATGTTGGCGTGGCCCCCCGGGGGGTCAAAGGGCTCGTTGCAGGCCACCTGGTCGCCCAGCACGAAGCCCGCGAAGTAGGTGGCCGACACCATCAGGTTGCAGAAGGACAGGAAGATGATGGGCCGCTCCGGGTACCGGAACCGCTGCATGTCGATCAGGAACGTGAGCACGGTGAATAGCGTGGACACCATGCACTGAACGGCCCACGCGCCGATCCAGTAGCGCGAAAACTTGAGGTTCTCGCCCCGGAAGAACATGTGGTGACAGGGCATGCCGCAGTTCTTCTCTTCCTTGCCCCGGATGCGGAACACGTAATCCAGTCCCAGCGGTACACGGAACTCGCGCGGGCACACGAACCCGTGGTTCACCAAGAGTCCGGTGGAGTTCGGCGACGCCGGCGTGCTGATGCGATGCTCGGTGACGTTTTCGCCGACGCAGAGCTTCTCTGAGCCCACTTCAGGGAACTTGTCGCACTCTAGCGACTCGGGCCACTTGAAGCCGAACTTGTTCATGAGCGACTCGCAGCCGCTGCGCGCCGACATACAGAGCGAGCGGCACGGCGGGATCGGATACTCGAGGATGGTGCATACGGGCGCGTACATGGAGCACAAAAAGAACTGGAGGTCCGGCGAGCACTTGACCTTGACCAGCGGGAAGAACTGGTGCACCTCCATGCCGGCGTCCTCTTGCTTCTGGTGGTTGAGCAAGTTGGGCATGATGGTCTCGTTGTATTGGATGTCTTTGCACAGCGGGATACTGATGGGCTCGCAGCGGCCGTGGTGCGGGATCGACCCTGCCCGGTGGTCGGACACGCGCGAGCTCGTTGCCTGCCCGACGCAGGGACGCGCCGCCAGCAGTGCCGCCAACAGAAGCACCGCCGACGACGCCGCCGTGCACGCGAGGCCTAGCGAGAAGACGTTTCGGGGGCCGCTCCGCATCGCGCTCGCGGGCCCGTCACTCGCTGCCACGCTGCTGCCAGCCGTCAAGCTCCAGGCGAGCTCTCCCGGCGCCGGCTCCGAGGACTGCTACATAGCGCTGGGACCCGGGGGTGAATCGGGCCGGCGGCGCGTTGTTTTGTTCGCTCCAACGACAACACGTTCTCACAACAGAAACATGGCCTCCCCGCTCCGTATGGAAATCGCTCTGGTCGTTGTCCAAGTTGCCCGTGGCTCTTAGCCCTCTCCCACCCGGCGGTCCGCTCCATTGGCTGCCGGCGCGGCTGCCGCGTGAGCGCCACCAATGCGGGGCCTCCCGACTTGGGCGCCCTCGCCACGCACGAGGGCGAGAGCCGCGCTCACGTGTGCCGGATATGGCGTACCGGAAGCGCGCGAATCTTCGCATCAGTTTGGAACCGCGCGGCGCGGACCGAGCGGACGGCGGACGGCTGCCAACTGCTGGCACGGCGCCTTTTCGCGCCGGCATGGGTGCGCCGCCCTCCTCCCGGAAAGTTCACCCTCGGCTGCCTCGGCCAGCGTCGCTGCTGTGCTGGGCCGGCCATCGTGCGCCCGACGGGCCCGCGCCGTTGCTGCCCTTTTTGCGCGCCCGGGAATATTTGAGTCTTCGTGAGCGGTTACCGCTTGTTGTGGGTCTTTCTCGCGATCAGAGTGGACTGATAGAGCTGACAGACCGAATCCCAGGTCCTGACCGACCACGACTGGACTACCACGTTTGGAGTCATGTCGCCTCTCAGATGTCGAGGCTGCCCGAACAGATGGGCTGATAACAGCAGCACTTTCAACAAATTTTCCCAATTAAAAAAGAAAAAAAAAAGTGCCCGATGCTAAAATTTTGAGGCTGAATGTACCGGCTGCGGCCGTAAGGATCACCAGTCTCTGGAATTTAAACATTTAGAAAATTATCACTGATAAGACAAGCTATTTATCTACAAAAGCTTGATTAAGAGAAAAACGTTTCGGTTATCCGTATCGACAATACTTTCCAAGCTTGTTCAAGAGGGACATCTCAGTTGTTGTCATAGGAAGCTTATTTCGAGAAACCTACCTAGGCGCAAGGAGGCCAATAAAATTTCAGGTGTGGCGTGCTCCGTGTCTTTGAAGTAATCAAACAAAACAGAAACACACACACACACTCAAGTGCCGCAGCCTAAGAAGCACGATTTAATTAAAACCCCGCAAGTTGTGCGCCACCCATTCAGTGAGCTGGAACGTGTCCAGAATTTCATATTAGTGGCGCTAAAAAGAGAAAGAGGGGAAAAAAAGGAACAGAGACGCCGAAATCAATACAAATAAAACTGGCTAAAATAAATAGTACATCGTTGCTGACTTGCACAGTCTTTACACCCACGCATCGCAACATGTTGATTCATTTACCTATAAGTGCATTCAGAGATGGGCAGTATTTCAAATACAAGTGTTTGAAATACGTATTTTAAATATTTCGTGTATTTTGCATTTGTATTTAATTACAAATTGGGTAATGTATTTGACGTGTGTATTTAAATACTAAAACGTGGGTATTTCAAATACAATTGTAATTAAATACAATTTTGTGGGCGAAAATACATCCCTCAAATTTATTGTCACTGTCCAGAGCAAAAAGAAAACTACGTTCTGCACTGAATGCAGTGTCTCTCAATTAAGCATAAGCGTCTAGTGACTTTGTGATTACAGTGCTAGTCCAGGGCAAGAATAGTGACGAAATCGATGTTCACAGGCAGACTGGCTAAATAAGTGCCTGTGACAACTTGTGATGCTTTCCAGCCTGATTTCCATCCACATTTTTGTCTGGAACATTCTAAATGTACGGGTCGTCCAGATTTTCGTAACTGTTGCGAGTTGCAACAATAAAAAAATTCTCTAGCTAGTGCTGCGCGTCTTGGTCGTCTCGGTTCTTTGTTGGTCTATACCAAAATGTAATCGACAAAAAGAGCTGCTTGGAGCTCTGTACTTTTTTCCCCTTTTACGTCCAAGCTGATTACACTTGTTTTGTGATTATATTTCCATTACGTTACTAAAACCTCGCACACAAACTCCCGAGTGTGCGATGCAAAATTAAAATGAGATACCCAGAAACCCGTTGCAGGTGCCCTGAAGTCGCTGACGCAAATTTTGAGGAATGTATTTTTAAAAGTATTTGGAGGAGACCAAATACATTTGGTTGTATTTGTATCTTGTACTTAAATGGTTTTCTGGAAATGTAATTAGATTTGTAATTAAATACGTTTTTGACGAAGTATTTTGTATTTGTATTTCGATACATATTTGCATGTATTTTGCCCATTCCTGAGTGCATTCCTGTTCGACTGCTACCTGTCGAACTGAAATCTGCTACGTTTAGTCCTTCAAAAGGAGCTGTGTGTTTTGGTTCCTATGTATCCAAATAAAGAATACGCATCATACGTCTTCCAATTCCTCTCTCCCCCTTACAAAAAAAAAAAAAAAATTACCACGCTATTAGAAAAAGAAATATGCTACACGTGGAAGTAGCTGCACGGAAATCGGAAAATCCTTCAAAAATTAAAGAATCCTGTGGGATTTCTTTGTGGTACAATTCGCCCTCCTGCACTTCCTGCAAATCTCTTCTCCTTTTTCCTTAATCGCGTTCATATCACTTATTTATATCTTCACTCCTCACCTAGACTAGAGAAACAGAGAAGATTCTTTCCAGGCTAACCTTTCTGACATCCTTTGTTAACCTCAATTAAAAAAAAAAAAAAAAGACACATGCGCGGAAATCTTTTTTTTGTGTGTGTGTGCGCGTGTGTTTTATTCTTGTGTTCGATTTTAGCATAGTCAAATCCTTCTATTCTTTTTTTTTTTTTTTTAGGTTAGCGTGGAACGCGTTTTTCGGTTCCAATTTGCGTCCAATTACGCGATTTTCGATTTCGATTTTCGCGATTTTCGCGATTTTCGACCCAACCTCTCCGTTTGAGCTCGGTCTTACAACCGTTCCTCCCATCCGTTTTACCCTCTAAATTACTGAGGCTCCGACGAAATTCCAGCGTGGTGTGATCAACAAATTCGTACTGAGCCAGTATGGCAACAGCAGCAGCACCAGCTATATATACTGCGTTACTCTAGTTACTTTATAGTTACTGTTACAGTGGTTACTCTAGTTTATCTATGGTTACTCTAGCAGTAGCAGCAGCGAGCCCCAGTTCTTATTCGAGCCTGTCGATTCCCCGTCGCCGTTCCAGAACCGAGCCCTCCAGCTCTGCGAAGAAGGGGGCTTTGTGTAACAACTGGTTTTACAAGTTCCAGCCACACGTGTGTGACAGGCCTCGTTAGTGAAGGCGATCAGATTTTGGCCCCCTTTCTCCGTCCGAGTGGCGGGGAAACGCAACCCCAGCGAGTCGTAGGGGACAAAGGGACTTCGAGAAATGGCCGGCCCTGTCTGCCTTCTTTTGACTTGGGTAACTTGGGATTCGAGGGTCGAGTAAAAAAAGGCGCATCCATTTTCGTTTTCCTCTTTTTTTTTTTTTTTTTTTTGGTGCTTGTTATCGCGAAACACTTGAGAAGAGAAGGTCGGTCGATGGCTCCCTCTGGAAGAGGTGGTTTGCGTAAGGATCGCGACGTTGTCTGGCGTCCCATCTCTCACCCTGAGAAGTCAGGCGGTTCCGTCTGTGGTTTTTAGAAGATAGCATTTTGCCCATATTTCATTTATTTTTCTCTCGTCGTGGCAGCCTCATTTTTCTGCAAACGGCGGGGATGAGATAAATTCGCGAGCCTATAGAGGCTTGTAGAAAGACGGATCGCGTTTTTTTTTTTTTTCCGCATGCACAAAAATCAGCACAAAAGAAGAAAAGGTATTCTCTTTTTTTTTTTTTTTTTTTTTACTTTGTATATTCAAATATCTTTGACCAAACCGGATGATGACAATTAAAACTAAAACGCATAGGCTTAGGTCTACTCAGTCTTGTAAGTAATCCGTTACAAGTAACGAAATTACTTGTAATCCCTTACATTTATCAGTATTTTTGTAGGGGATAAATACATATTTCGGAAAGTAATTGTAAAGTAATTTCCTTACTTTTTTACGTAAGGGAATGATTGTAATCCGTTGCATTTTTGTCTTTATTCGCGGAGAAAAAATGCGGGAACTTTAAATACTGAAAAAACAAATCGTTAAAAAAGTATATATATATATATATATATATATATATATATATATATATATATATATATATATATATTTTTTTTTTTTTTTTTTGTAAGGGTAAGTTTTGCCGGAATCACACTGTCACCTGCATTTAGAAAACGCAAGGCCTGAAATTCTTTAGATGCTCAAAGCCTTTCCTCACGTCACCTAAAACCTCACCTCATATATTTTTTTTGGGGGGGGGGAATTGTAATTTGTTAGCTTCCTCGTCCCCAACGAAGTGGGAAACACACTGATACAAAGGACCGTACTCTCCATGCAAGCAATGTTAGGCAAACTCCCGAGTTCAAAATGTTTCCTTAAAAAAAAAAAAGAAAAAAAAAAAAACACGTCAAAGTGCACGCGAGCTGGTGTAGCGGATCTGTGCGCGTCTTTTCTTTTTGTCTCTTCACTCTCTCTTTGCTTCCTTCTGGCCGAGAGAGAGAGAAGATGACTTTGTATCAACTTCAGGCTCAGGGACCAAGATAATCTACACTGGGGAGAAAAGCGAAGTTTGCTGGAGCTGTAGTTAGGACACAGTGTCTCAGTGGGCCAACAGAATCTAGCTGACGTTTTGGGTGTCGAGCGGGTAGGGGAGGTAATGCAAACGCGTCATTTCCTAGCCACTCAGTCGCGCGTCCAGGTGGCAGCACCTATTTGGAAAAAGGTGGACTGAAAAGTTGTTCAGTGCAGCGGACTGAGCATCTTCTCACAGAAACGAGGCAAGATGTCCGATGAGACTTTTTGAGAGCCAGATGTTGCTCAAGGTCACAACAGTGTGAGTTGTGGCAACAATAAACTCTTCCATAACAATTATCTTTTGTTTCTTACCCTTGGACAGTAAGGTTGAAAGGAACGCCACGAAAGTAACGGATGACTTCTTGAAGTAACAGTCACATACTTTTATGGAAGTGTAATTGCAACTGTAATTAGTTACATTTAGACACAAGTAATTGTAAATGTAATGCCTTGCTTTTTTTTTTGTAACGTGTACAAGTCTGGGGCTACTTTAGGTGCCACAGTGAACGACCATCATCTGTAACAAGAAAAAAAAAAGAACACCGTATACTGTTTCTTGTCGCTTCAGTACCACGCCGGAAGTGCTCATTAGTCGTGCTGAAAAACCCTGGAGACGAAGGA